CACCAACCCTATCACAGATATATTCATTTCGCATTTTGTCCCTTAGTGTAAAGCCACTCATCCATCTAATCATTCTCATCTCGGCAACACTTAACTTATTATTATGCTTCTCTTTTAAAGGACAACATTCAGCGCCATAGAGCATTGCAGGTCTCACCACCGTCTTATAAAATTTTCCTTTCAGTCTAAGCGGTACTTTAATATCACACAAAAGCCCCGAAACATTCCTCCACTTCAACCAACCAACTTGAATTCTACTATTAACATCCTCATCTATATCACCATCGCTTTGAACAACAGACCCAAGATATCTAAATTGTTCACACCTTTTAATAATTTGATCACCCGAAGTCACACTTCTGTCACTAGAGCTACTATTTCTAAAGTTACATTCCATGTATTCAGTTTTAGTTCTACTTAAATGAAGCCCTTTAGACTCCAATGTAGACCTCCATAATTCAAGTTTTTCCTGGGCTTTTTCTCTCATTTTATCCACGAGAAGGATATCATCAGCAAAAAGCATACACTAGGTTACATCCTCTTGTAGATGTACAGTAAGATCATCCATAACTAAAGCAAAAATATATGGGTTTAAAGCTGATCCCTGATGTAATCCAACTGAAATAGGAAAATATTTGGTCAATGCTCCTTCAGTTTGAACACAATTAGCAGCTCTAGTATACATATCTTTAATGACTTGAATATAAGTCATATCAACACATTTCTTCCCGAGAACTCTCCAAAGGATATCTCTTGGAACCTTATCGTAAGCTTTTTCTAAATCAATAAAAATCAAAATATAATTTGGAAAATTATGAGGATAATCTTAGTAGGTTTCCTTTGGCCAGACAAGTCTATGAAAAATATTATGATCTTTCGAATTGTTTTGTACATTTCTATATTTAATCAACCTCTCCCATAATTTTAAAGTATGACACATCAACTTAATTCCTCTATAATTTGCACACTCTTGTGCATCCCCTTTATTTTTAAAAATGGGGACCAAAATACTCTTCCTCTACTGCTTAGGCATCTTTTTAGTTTTTAAAATAATATTAAAAAGTTTAGTAAACCAAGAAACTCCCAAATCTCCTAAATATCTCCACACTTCAATTGGGATGTCATCAGGTCCTACAGACTTTTCTCCCTTGGTTTTCTTTAAAGTCTCTTCAACTTCTATTTTACTAATGTGACCGTAAAAATGAAACGTTTTATTATTATTCACGATATTAATATCACTAATGTCGATTGTATTTTCAGAAACTTCATTAAAAATTTTATCAAAATAACTCACTCACCTATGTTGAATATTTTTTTTTAAGAAAAGTACTTTTTGATTTCATCTTTAATACAATTTACTTGAGCTAAATATTTAAATCTTTATTTTTTTCTCTTTGTTTGACTACTTTATACATATATTTTTCAACCTCCTTAGTATCTAATCTATTATAAAAATCATAAAAACAAAATTTTTAGCGTCACAGATTGTTCTTTTAGACTCCCTGTGGGTTGTTTGATATTTTTCTTAGTTCTCTAAGCTTTTACATTTAAACCAATTTTTATAACACAACTTCTTATATTTTATCTTTTCTTGCACATTATTATTCAACCACCAACTCTTTTTATTTATAAAAATTTTTTCTTTTGATTCTTCAAACACATCTTTTGTTACACGTTTAATAGTGTTTGATACTTTATCCCACATAAGATTTGCATCTTCATGAACATCCCAAATTTTGAAATCTTGAATTTTACTTGTAAAAATAATGTTATTTGTGTGTTTTAGGTTCCTCTATCTAATTCTATGATGATGAGACGTAGTATTTTTTATTTGACAACTCTTCATTTTAAAATCTAGAACTAATAAACGATGATGGGTACTTAAATTCTCACTTGGAATGACCTTACAATCTTTACAATCTCGACGATATCTTTTTCTCATAAGAAAATAATCAATTTGTGTTTTATTAGATCCACTCTTATAAGTAATAAGATCCTCATCTATTTTCTTGAATAAAGTATTAGTAATAACAAAATCATACGCTAAAGCAAAATCTAAAATAGCTCTGACTTCTTCATTAGTTACTCTAAAATCGTAGCCACCATCAGTTTTTTTGAAGTCTTCTGCCACTCTACCGACATGTCCATTTAAATCTCCTCCAATAAAAATTCTTTCTTCAAGAGGTATCATTTGTAGTAAGTCTTTTAAGTCATTCCAAAATTTATCTTTATACCCTATATTTAAACCTACTTGAAGAGCATAAGCACTTATAATTTTAAAAATCTTAGTATCAATGATAATCTTAAGGTCTATAATTCTATCTCAAACTCTATTAATTTTTACAGCATTATCTTTCAAACTCTTATCTATAATTACACCTACATCATTTTTAGAGCGACTCTTACCAGAATACCAAAGTTTAAAACCTAAATTATCAATCTGCTTAGTCTTTTCTCCAACCCATTTAGTTTTCTGAATACATAAGATATTAATTTTCTTATGAATCATAATATCAACTAATTTTATTAATTTACCATTGAGAGTACCTATATTCCAAAAAGATTTATGTCATGATTTTTTTCGACAAGTTTTTACGCTGGTTGTCGATCACCTAACACAACCCTCCACTTTTCACATTCATGCTTGGGACCGACAATGGCAGTGTTTTAATAGCTCTTGACTGAATTAGTAAAATAAGATAATCAGTGTATTGAAGGAACGACTATACGATGGAACGAGTAAAATTACTTTACATTTAATTTAGTTTAAAAATTTGTAATAGTCACCGTACCTAGCTTATCAGCAGATTATTTTTAATCAACTTATCAGCAGATTATTCAATAAGCTGCAGCTGCCCCAAACAGGAACTTACGTTTGAACTTGAAAGAGTGGAAGGAAAAAAATTCCTTATCTTCACTCTAACCTACCCACCACTCTTACTAGTACCTCCAAACCTCGCTCACTAGCCTTTGCGTAAGCTCTACTTGCTGCCATTGTGTGCATGGCCACTCTTTTTTACCTCTTGATTTTCTCTCTTTTGCGCTCGGCCTTTCTCCTTATCTCTTTCACTCTCAATTTGGATCGCATAGTGTTGTGCCCCCTCAATTTCGTCTCTTCTAAGCAGAATAAGCTAGTTTTGATTCACTTGAATTGATATATATATTATTATAACATGTTTAATATGGTATTTAATTATTTTAAAAAATAATTAAAAAATAGTTTTATTATTATTTAAATTATTAAACAAATTATTATTATCAGTATTTAGCTAAAATTTAATTAAAGGTACTAATAGGGTTATAACATGTTTAATATACTCGAAGAACTCTCCTAGCAGGAATTTGATAATCAGACTTTTTCTTAGGTTTTTTCTTTCATTTCTTATGAACTAGGGAAATTTTTTATCCGAAAATAGTTTTTTTTACCCCTCTTGGTATTCTTTATTGGTATTTGATTGCCCTTATGAAATTGAAATTAATTATTAAATTCTACATCATCAGTGGTTCAAGCAACTTGCCAAACTTCTAAAGATGCTTAATGATAAAAGTGTAGTCCTAAATTTGAATGTCTCTTTACCACAAAATTTGTATAGAGTAACATGCGAGTTCTTTCTAGTCAATGAGTTTAAATGAGTGTCCCCGTGAAAATAAAAACTCTAGCTTAAGTTGATACCCATTGAAGGAAAGAATTTAATATAAATACTTTGAAGGAAAAAGGTAGTGTAAGTCTTGACCACTCACACTTGTATGTATTCAAATGGCGTGTTCTATTAGGCTAAAGACTAGAGGTGCATTTGTTTCAGCTGTAATTATATAAAATCTCAATTCGAAAGTTGCAGTTGAAAATCAGCTGTTCAGAAGTTCTTGCTTCAAGAGCAGTTGGTCTGTTTGAAAAATAAGTTTTGAAAGTGCTCTCTATAGACCGATGATTGTAATACCCCTCAGTATAGATTATGTTGATAATACAGGCATTTTCAATATACGTAATTCTTCTTTTTTAACTTTGATACCCAAATAGGCAGAAACACAAAACTAAAGTCTATAACTTATTGAATAAAGTGAAGGCTAGATATTAAAAAAATCAATTTAATTACGAAAATGGACATATTTGGAATAAATCCAATGATAATTACAGCTACTAAGTAATATTTGATAGCATAAAAGCTACTGAATCAACCTCATAATAATTAATGAATTTGATATTATTGAAACAGGGAAGTGGAAATAGTTGAGTTAAAGAATTCATTGGGCTGAGTTCAAATACTCATAATTGCATCTTCAATGAATCTGAGATTATTGAAACTGCAGTAATGAAATTAGCACTACAGCCACACATTCGCCAGAAAATTCTAATACTCATAATTGTTCTCAAAGAATTTGAAATAAGTAAGAAAATTTATTCCTGCATTATAATATTTCTACCTTTGTATATTTGGTGGTGTACATAGCATACCTTCAAATCCTGTCTTTTTGCCTGGCATTTGCAGAGAGTAATCTAAAAAGCCTTTACAAAGTAATTGTTCTTTGAATCAAAGCAATTCAAAAAAATTAACTATTTCTAAATAATAAATTGCTTTGCAGGATTACGCTGGTGTCACAACTAGTAGTTTTGATTTATCACCTAGGCAAATACATCGTAAGTTCTGAAACTTCTAACACCCTTTAAAGTTAATTGCTCTCATTCACAACGTAAGCTTTAATTTTCTAATAAAACTTCAAAAACTACTATCACACATCACAAAGCGCCACATTAGAAGGGTTCATCGGGCTCGTTCTGAATAACGACAAGTTTACCAGATTCTATCTTGTGGTCCATGCAATTAGAAATCAACATTATTTAAATATGAAAAAGCATATTTCGAAACCCAAAATCATCATGTTTTTCATTTTCATTGAATTAGACAGCCCCCTAAGCTGTTCATACAAATGTCAGTTTTTCTATTCTAACTAATTTGAACCAAAAAACCTAAGACAAGTGTTCTAAAGAAAACCAGAGGATGATGGGCCTCTCCTATGATCCGATCGAACTGCTCCTCACTGGTGATTGGCAGAAGCTTGATCAAAGAGAGCGCTTCGTCATCGAGCTCATCCTCATGGAGTTACCTTCTCCAAGTTACTCCAAGTGGCTGATGCTGCTTCCGTCCTTTGAGACCAAGATCGAGTAAGTGCGGAGAAATGGAGGGTAGAGATCGAAGATAAAGCGGGAGAGGATTGCGTGAGTTCCAGACATCAAGCGGTGGGGCTCAAAGGGGCAATTGCAGAAGAAACTACGGAATGCGGAATGGTATTCGTGTTCGCAATATTATTAGACCACATAACGCGGTTTCTGAAGTCCAAACACTGAGAAAACCACATTCTATACCGATCGTGGCTCAAAAATCTAAAACAAACGCTCCCTAGGTATCTGGCATTAAGGAAATACAACAATCCGACCCATTCAATTGCTAAAATATCAAATTATATGTCATTTATAAAATGTCAATTTTAAAATACTGGGTATTTGACAAAGTGTCCAAAAATTAAATTAGAAAATACAAATCAAGTATCATGCTTGGATGAGTGCCCAATATCTCAATATCACTAGTGGAGGAGCATCCATCGTCTTCAGTATCATAACTCTTCTAGGCTTTTCATGGTTTAAGTGTCCTTCAACGCATCGAAAAAAAAAAAAAGCTTTTGTTATGCATAGTTCACTGTGCTTTGATCTACCAAGCATTGGGCATCAAACTTTCAGCCTTTGTCAGTGACCTGAGCATCAGGGCCAGGCCATTTGCTTGTATCATTTAACAGGCCCATCAACCATGAAACATAAGATAAAGGCTTGCTCTTTATATTATTCACCAGTTACATTGAGCATGAAGCATTTGACAAAAGGAACCCCTATCCCATTCATCAAGTATAATAATCCTTAACACTTGATATAGATAATCTCTGTTAATTCAATATGTTATAATTGTGTCGCGAATGTTTGTATAATTTTTTAAGTTCTTTTTCTCATTATTAGTTATGCTCTCTTGAATTAAGTGTGTACATCAATAGCCACAAAAACAAACAATATGCATGAAAAACTAATAAGTATCGTCTAAGTATTGATGAGGAAGGTAAAAATTACAAGCCTGTAGTAGTGCAAGCAGTCTTCTTAACAAAAAAGGGGGTATATTAAGAGGTCGAGCCTAAAAAGCCTAAATTTGAGCAATAGCATGATCCAGCATCATGTCTTGGGTGACTTGCTCTTCAGTAGCCTTTAAAATTTCCAACGCTTTGGTACATTCCTTATTACCTTCAAGCACTGACTGATGTTCATGAAATCATGGAATCTTTGTCGTTATTGCTCATTTTGGGTTGTACTTGTCCTGGAGTGTTCTCATTTTGCATTCTGTTGCTTCTATAGACTGTCCATAGGTGACAATGTTCGTGTTGTTAGGCAGTTCATGTGGGACGGCCAAACAGCCCGTTGTTGCATATGAAGATAATTCTAGCACACTTGTTAATCGTGATGTGCTACTACACCATAGTATGCACGATTGTGACTCTCTCTTGTTGTATAGAGAAAGGCATTTACTGGCACTTGAGGTAGATCTGAGTTGCTTTTCGATAAATCCTGGCTTTGTCATGCAACCTGTTAAAATCTTAGCTCTGATTGATTCAAACCCAAGTATGCCAAGTAATCACTCATTTTTGGTTTTTGCCACAACTTGATCCAACAACTTTGGGCGGTCATTGTTCAACCCCACCTTCAATTGTCTTCGGAACCACAAGTTTGCATCATGAAGCGGCGCATGGCTTGGATTTACGTGCCTTGCAGGTCTAAGTTGAATGTCGGATGCATAATTATGTAGCTCGGGGCCTCTTGCATCACAGCAAAATAAAAATTAATGCACAAAATTTACTGAAGCGAGCTAACAAAAGCATATGTACTTAGGGTTACGTTCTAGCTGCTGCAGCACTGGAATCATTTTTCATGCTTTATTCTGTCTAAGGATTGTAGCCATTCTCTGTTGCATTTTTTTTTTTCGGAATTACTATTATGGTTTCTTTTATTTATGGCTGGCACAATATCAGCCCAATTCAGTTCCAGAAAATCATCAAACTCAAATTTTAATTTTAGCCATAATTCACACCTGTAATGGGAAAAAAAAAACTTCCATATCCTAGACCGGAGGAACAGTACCAGGCGAAAGTCGCAATGCAAACAAACAACTACAACAACAACAACAAGAAGCCTTTAGTGGGATAAAAGGCTGTTGTTGTTCCTCTTATTGTGCCAGTCATGTCTACTAATTTATAAATGAGGAGCCTGTAAATAAATCATCTGACACATGCAATTTGAATAACTTTGATGAAATAAAAGTTTTTCTTTTGGGTTTCAACCCTTTCTGTGCTCGTTTAATGTTATTTCTCAAGTGTTGAATAAGTGCCTAATTCTAGAGAAAGTGATCTCATTGTACAAGTTTGAGGATTGAATTTCTTAATTTGGTGAATTTTTTTATTGTCCTAATTTATTCTACATATCTTGGTATTACCTTATTAATGCGTTCTTAATTCTGTTCAAATTTGTACAAATGAGATTGTACAAGGGGTTAATAAATTGCTATTACTTCCTGATTTTGCAGCCGTTGTTGATTGGCTTGTTACATCTAATGTATTATGATAAGTCTGTTACATCTAATGTATTATGATTTTCTCAAATTTATTCATTGTATTATTTTTGAGTTTTAATTCCCTTGTTTTCAGGTTTGTGTCTAAAGAAGTTTTATCTTATCAATAATCTTTGATTTGTGAATCCTATTTCCCGTTAGTTGGTCTTTATTTTGTTGTGCATCAGGAAATCTAGCCCTAAACCCTCTCTCATCAAATTCTTATCCGATATTATAGTTGCATGATCATGTTAACTAAATATAGGAGATATTTAGTGAGCCAATAAAATTATTTAATAAATAATGCAATTTAAATGACATGATTCCAGGCATAAAGATAAATATCACATGATTCAAAATCATATTCCTACGTTCAAGGAGAGACATGATCCTATTAAATTTTCAAATTGAATGAAAATTTTAAATTATCTATTTTAGTCTCATAGAGCTGAACGTGTCAAATCAAAGGTCATACTCAATTGTTTGAAAAAAAAAATGGTACTAATTTGTTGTGAGCTTATATAAAACATAAACTTAAGAAAGCAATATTAATCATTCATTGATTATAGGGGTCAACTGCATGATGAATTTCAAGATTATAAACAAATAGGCATGGCATGTTTGATTATTATACAAGGTTCATAAATCTTGTATTTAATTAATTTTTGCTTTTAGATTATTTTGCTAATTCTTATCTGTTTTACTAAAGGTTTGAAGCAAAAGTTATGGATGAGCTAAACTACAATTTAGCGTAAACCGTGCATAAGGCTTTATGCATAGTTTTGCATATTGAGTATTACAATCATTATAATTGGACTATCACACTTGCTCTTCACGTATTTCGAGAGAAAGCAATGCCGTCTCATATTAAGACCTTTATATTCACACCAACATAAGAACTACTGATTTATTCAAGTTGATCTTATTGCATAGACAATAAATCATGAATATTCATTAAAGCCTAGAGACTATTTTAGATGCAAAAAATAATTTACAGATACAATGTATATTTATATTAGATGATTTTATATGTGAATCAACACATTTATTAGAGTATGTTCATAAATCTAAATCTATGATTAATCAAGAGTTGGAATAAAAACAAAATTGAGCATTAATTCTTATGTGAATCCATAGTTTCTAACATATATTGAACTCTTTCTCGCACTCAATTTGGTGGTATCTCTATATGGGGTAGTTTGGCAAGCAATTTGTCAACCATCTCAGACTCTTTTCCTTTCTATACAATATACATTATCTGTTGAGATTTGTTTTCTTTTGGTACGTTATTCTTTTGAACAATTTATGGCTACTTTGGACGTAGCCCATATAATACATTGAACTTTTGGTGGCTTAATTTAATTTAGACTGAAGAATAGATTTGTTTAGTGTATTTCTCCCTCAAATTTGAATTTTTTTTTACTGGCCATTCAAATTTGAATAGGTTTTCTTATGCTTCGGAATCTGCTCGGATGGACTGGTCCTCCTTCACCAAGGGCTATTTTCAGAAACGAGAAACGCTTGTCGCCGTCATGTTGCTTGTTGATGCCAGTGTTCCACCCCAACAAATTGACCTTGATTGTGCCAACTGGTTGGGTCGCAATAACGTAAGTTCAACTCTTCCTCCATTACTTTTTCAGTTTACTAGAATGAATCTTCAAAGTTGTGTAATAATTATTTCAGATTGGAATGACGTTTGTTTTCACTAAATGTGACAAAACTAAGGGCGGTAAGGGAAGCCGTCCCGCCGATAACATTAAACAGTTTCAGGAGCTCTTGAAAACATATTATCGTCGAGAACCTCCTCCATGGATCATGACGAGTAGTGTTACTGGCTTAGGTCGTGATGAACTGCTGCTCCACATGTCACAGTTGAGAAATTACTGGGATAATAGCGAGGAATAATTAATGTAGTGTTCAAAGTTTTCTACCAAGCCGCTCGTCTCCTCAATTTGTAAGCCTTTGTGTGCATATATTTTGGATTTTAATCATGCTTGGTAGTAGTAAAAGAATTATTTCTGTGTGCAAATCTAAGGCAGGAATCAGAAAATGGAGCTTTTTAGATTTCTTATCAACCATGCTTACCAATTTGAGTCTGGTAAAACGAGTATTTCGCTTGTGGTTTTACTTGCTGTTATCGACTCGGGTTTACCAATTTGATTGGTTTTTTAGTTGGACTGGAAACTGTTGCTTGTGAGAAACTGAGTCAGCGGAGATTGTCGATCATCATCGTCTTAGCTATAGGGTCCATATCATATGAACAATTAGTGGATGTAAAGAGTGCGGAAATAGATTTATACATGAACATACGACAAGTGTAAAATCTCCAGGTTTATCTACTCACTGCAGTACAGGTTATACTTCTTACAAAGAAATTACAGGTTATACTTACAAAGAAATTACGTGGTATCTTCTATATCCGCTAGTTATTTTGTAAGTGGGAGGAGCCAACATAGATAAGTAGAAAAACTTGAATGCATACCACATAATTCTTATGCATGCATTTACATATTTGACATTTATATTTATCACACTTTGGTGTCATAAACCCATATATGAAAATGTATATTTCACTTTTAAAACGGTAGTAATAGTGATATTTTTAATGCTTTTTTAAACATTTGAGTGATATATGAAAATATGAAAATTTGGGTGTTAGTTTTGTGAATACATAAGCATTATATGTATGCAGGTAAATGCCCTAAATAAAGGATAAAAAATGCAAGTTGTTGCCGAGATGAACAAAGGAGTGATGTAAATTGGTTGGCAGTAAACATGAGGTGGTGTCATGTTTGTGGTGCAAAAGAGATCGTAACGCAAATCTTAAAGAAAACTATTACGGTATAGGTGAGATGGTAATGTGTTTTGAAGAAGATTATAGCGGCATAATCATGATTATGATCTAGATCACAAAGAATATGACTAAAGCAAGCAAGGTTGTGATTAGGGGTATAAAAGAGTTGAATTGAGCCCGAGCTACAATTGACATGCGCTCGAGTTTTATTAATAAATCGAGTTCAAGCTCAAACTTGAGTTTAAGTTCACGAGTTTGAGCTGGCTCACTTTATTATAAACTAGAGAAAATAAAATTAATTTAAGCTAGTGTCATGATAAAATGATAAATAGAATGAGCAAATAAGAGATAATAAAGTATCAATTGATATAAACTATTAAATATCATTTTTAAATTTTTTTTAATAATCTAAAAATAAAATTTTAAAATTTAATATAATTTTTTTTTAAAATGAGCCAACTCACGAGTAAACTTGGCTCACCAATGTGTTAAAGGAAATGGTTTTGCTGCCTATGTGGCTATGACACATATTTTGATATATCAAAAGGAGATGGTTGTTGCACCAGTGAGATTATGTTGTAAGATTTAATGATGATAGCTCCAGTACAAGTGAGATCATAATGCAGGACTTAAAAGAGAATTATAGTGCAAGTTAGAATGTGAAGAAAGCCCAGAAGAAGACTAACCATACACTAGAGAATGCGATGTAAGTCATGGAGGAAATGATTGTAGCACAGGTTATGACATGATTGGATGGATATGATGATGATTGTAATATAAGTAACAACTCTATACGCTCATAAAAAATTGATTTGTCATCTACCTTTTTATAATTTCATCTTAGCCTATGACCTCTAACCTCCTCCCTCAATCCTAATCATTGTAATAAGATTGCAATGTCATATGTTGTCATGCTCTTACTTCAATACATGTATATAAGTATTGAGAAATTAGGGCGAATAAAAACATGAATCAACACAAATTAGAAGAGCACATAGAGATTTAACGAGGTTCGACAAAGATGCCTATGTTCTCGGGAGCAGAGAGACGAATTTCACTATTTCAGAGGAGTTCAGTTTCATACCCATAGGGTCACACATCATAAATATAAATATAGATAATTGTAAGAGACACTCATATTCATTCTAGGAGACACCTCTTCAATTCTAAGAGACACCAAATTCTGGTATATAAGTCATACCTAACAAATTTCTACCTTACGAATATCCAGCCCCTTAGGAGTACATATAACTAACAAATCTCCATTTTGGCGAATATCCAACTCCTTAGAAGAGAGAACAACAAAGAATACCATCCATTTTTCAAACGGTAACTTTTCAGGCAACCATGTCGTCTAACAATTGCAAACATTCAAGAAGTTCAAGCAATGCAAGAACTTGTTGATAGTATCTAGCTTGGTCAACATATCTGCTGCATTTTCATTATATGATTCAACAGATTCAACAGAGTGAACTCCACAAGAGTGAACTCCACATACAACTGTACTCTCCAACAGTTTATAGATATTACCTGCAGCGATCTTTTCTTTCATCACAATCAATGCACCTTTAACAATTTTGATGATTTCTCTATCCTCATCTGTCTTAGTAATAAAACTATTGCTGTTTAAAGTGACCAAAGAAATTAAATTCTTCTTCAAATCTGGAATATATCTTGCATCACATAATATTCTGACAGTGCCATCATATATCTTAATTCTGACTTTGCTAATACCAGTAATATTGTAACATCTATTATTACACAAATAGGCTGAACCAGAATCAGATAACATATATGAAGTAAACTATTCCCTATTAGAACTGAACCAGAATCAGATAACATGTATGAAGTAAACTATTCCCTATTAGGTGTTATGTGATAAAAACATCCTGAATCAAGAATCCATGCATCTTTCAACTGAGTTGTTGTAACTGAAAATACATCACCATCACTGCAATCTGAATTGTTTCTCAGCATCATATTCACTGACTTGGAAGATACATCATGTTTCTCATCAAACTGTTTCTTGAGCTTTGAGCAATCTCTCTTCATATGTCTTGGCTTCTTGCACTTGTAGCAATGAATCATTTTTCTGCCTTTAGGCTTTGACCTGGAATTTCGCATTCCAGAACTCTCCTTCTCCTCATTCCTTCCACAATCCTGATTACCCTTAGCATATAAACATACCACGAGAGTTTTCCCCTGCATTCTGCTTCCGCTGGTTGTGAGCCAACAATATTGCAGTAATCTCATCAATTTTGATTGTTTCTTTCTCATATGTAAGAGTAGTCACCAGATGTTCATAGGAGGAAGACAATGAACCCAACAGAATCATTGCCTGATCTTCATTCTCAATACTCACATCAAGCCGTATCAGATATGTGATTATTTGATTGAAGACATTCAAATGTTGCGTCAGTTTAGTGTTTGTCTGCATCTTCAGCCCAACAGTCTTTGTTTCAGATACAATTTATTTGTTAAAGATTTGAACATAAACTGATATTCTAATTTCTTTTATATTTCTCCTGGAGATTTCAGATTCATAACATAATACATAATTTCATCTATCAGACATAAATGTATGATACCTACCACTCGTAGTTGCACTTCTTCCCAATCTTCATCTTCCATATTATCAGGTTTCATAGCTCGTAAAGCCTTCAAAATTTCTTGTTGTGCCAACAAATATTTCACCCTTGTTTGTCACAATCTGAAGTTTCCGGTTTCAACGAGTTTCACTATCTCGAAATTTGCACCAGTCATTATTATTTGAAATTAATCTTGCAGCAAATTTTTTCTGCCCGTGTCGAAACAAAAACACACTGTAAATAAATTCAAAGAAGCTTGAAATTTGTTCTGTCAATTGCAACAATTTTCCTGCAATTATGTTGTGATTCGTGAATCAAATTTTTCACACGAACTACTTTTTCTGTTCGCGTCAACACCTCGGCTAAATTGCAATCCTGCGAGATGAAATCTTTCCTCTGTTCACAAAACATCTGGTGTCTGGTCGCGAAATACCTCTGCAAAATCAAATTTTTTCTGCCCGTGTCGAAACAAAAACACACCGTAAATAAATTCAAAGAAAGCTTGAAATTTGTTCTGTCAATTGCAGCAATTTTCCTGCAATTCTGTTGTGATTCGTGAATCAAATTTTTCACACGAATTACTTTTTCTGTTCGCGTCAGCACCTCGACTAAATTGCAGTCCTGGAGACGAAATCACAAAACATCTCATGTCTGATCGTGAAATACCTCTGCAAAAACACTAGTGGAACCTACTAGCTTCGCCTGTACCTGCCGCCTGTCACAATTTATCTATATTCGTAAAAAAATGATTCTGTTCGCGGTAACACCAAACTCCTCTCCTCTCTCTGCCCTCTTCTCCTGTCGCTCGCCCGATCTTCAAGTCGCGGCGAACTTCGTGTGAATCTCGCCCGATGGCGAACGATCTACTTCGCCCGCTAACTATTCTTCCCACGAACGATCCCGCGAACTATCATCCCGAACCGATCGCGAATGTCGTCCGCTAACTCTTCTGCGTGTTGCGCGGAGTCGCGACTGTTGCAGAAGCCTGTCGCGCTGTCCAAAATCCTTCGCCGAACAATCTGGAGCGAACCCGCGTCGCGAATCTCGGCCAAACTCCTCCGTCGCGCGAACTGCTAGCATAACCCTCGGCAAGGTCGAACTCTGCATCGCGCCTGAACTGTCTGCCGAAGCCTGGTCGCAGGTCCCGAACTCGTCCAAGGAACTGCGGCAAAACCGCCCGAACTCCTAGAAGCCCTAGCCGTAATACTCCTTCGTATTTACTGCACCGCCCAATATTTTCTTTCCTGCCCTAAAATCTCGCTTTGATACCAATTATTGAGAAATTAGGGCGAAGATAAAACATAAATCGACACAAAACTAGAAGAACAGAGATTTAATGAGGTTCTGCAAAGATGCCTATGTCCTTGGGAGCAGAGCGGCGAATTCACTATTTCAGAGGAGTCAAGTAATACCCATTGAGTTACGTAGCATATATATAGTTAAACTACAGATAAAATTACTAACACGTCCTCGCTCCCCCTCACCCACTTATCTTCAAGAGACACATCTCTTTACTCCAAAAGACACTCCTCTTCATTCTAGGAGATACACCTCTTCAATTTTAAGAGACACGTCTCTTCATTTCAGAAGACACTCATCTTAAATGAGACACGTCTCTTCATTTCAGAAGACACTCATCTTCAATTCCAAAGACTCCAAATTCTGGTATATGAGTCATACCTAAAAATAAGAAAGATTGTGAGCGCTCTCTAAACATGTAAGATATAATCGGAACTATATGATATATATCGCTCCTAAAGTTCTTTACTACCTGCTGTATCTACTATACACTTGGTATCAGGGAATATTGTCACTAAACAGCTACCCATGTCTAAATTTTCATATGAGAGCAACAAAATTGACAACTTCCCCTTATGCACAT